TATATGGGAGGGGGCTCATCCCTGTTGCTAGACAGCTTCACAAAATGATCTATAAATTCATTGCTTGTGACACGCAAGAGATCGTTTTGTTCTGTGACAAATGAGTATGTAGGTAACTTCTCAGACTGGGGGAGACAGGCAGAAGCACCCTGCTTCTTCTCAGTAGTATAGAAAGCATTACTTTGTTCAGCATGGGAAAGGTTTTTAAAATAAAGACTCTTGTTGTGATGTCTTCATAATTTATCAAAAAGATTTACATTTCTAGTGCCACAGAGTGTTCTTTGTGGGTTCGTTTGTCAGTGGGTATTAATTGGTTGAATCAAGATTTGTTTTTCTGAAATGCATACCATTGAGCTAGATGCTATGAGCACTTACCCGCTATCTCAGGAATCTCGCTGTAACAGAATATATTGGCAGGGTTGCCACGGCCTCTTTATTGTTTTGGATTTTTGCCAGAATACTATAAATAGTTGAAAAGGCAAGTGGCTTCCCATTAGTACAGTTACTTGTGGGGAGGCCTGCTGAAAGTTGTTCCAGTTTGGTGCAGAATGAAGAATTAGGCTGTCAGGGTCTTTTTTTTTTTCCTCTGGCTTTGTAGTTGCTCTGTGGATATTGCCTAATAAAAGGTATTTTTATGGGCTATTAGCTTTGCAGTGTTTGGTGTTATAAATACATGTGTTTGTATGTATTGTTTTCCGTTATTTAGACTGTGGTAACTCCCATAACAAACATTAATTTCAGACATCTGTGGATGCAGTCCTTCACTTTAATTACCCTCTTTTTATCCATTCTTTTGCTAAAAGCTCTGATTCAGCATAAACATTCTATGGAAATAAGGCTGTAATTTTTCCCATTTTTACTATTTTAAATCCAATCCTCACCCTCTCCAAAAAGAAAATTAAAAATTTGTGATGCGGATGTTAAGCTTCTGTTCCCAATGAGAATATTCAGATTTGGAAAGGCTACTCTGAAGTTTTTATTACTTTTATCTGAAGTTATCTGAAATTGATATTTTTTTTTTTTCCAGTTCCCTTATCTCTAGGAGAAGGAAGCCAAATTGTGCTTGCTTCCACTCCAGTGACTTTTTTCCATTACTGGATAGTAACATGTGAGCAGCAACATTGCTATGAAGCTGAATCTGCATTATAATCTTCTTTATGCCAGACATATAGGTCATTATAACTTCAAAGATGGTAAGCAAGACTAATCATAACGAACTTGAAAGAAGTGCCCTGCAAGCCAGGCTGCCGTCCAGTCCCACCCAGGGAATGGCTGTGGTGGGGCTGGGCTGGGACTGTCGGCGACTGGCCCCTCACCGAGAGGAGCAGTGGCACTGTCCGGAATGGGTGGTGGTGAATTACATCAACCCAGGAGGAGATGATAAATTAGTAAAGCAAGCAGTAGGAAAAAAGTCAGATAAATGTTTGAGAACCTTGATTCCATGACTGCTGTGTAACCCGTATCCAAAGCTGTAGCGGTATTATATATGCCACCTGTCCCTCTCACCGGCCGGGCAGTGTTATGACATGTATTCTGTCATTTTGCAAACAGAATAAAATGATCTCATAGTAACTTTATCAGAATTTTTTTTCCCTCTTAGCTCTCTTGGATGCTGATCACCTGGTTTGCTCCACAGTTACTTTGGTTTCAGACAGATCTTCACCAAGTCTGTTGCTTCTCAGTCTCACTTGCCAGAAAGTCTTTGCTGTCACTTGTCTTCCATGGTGTAAATAATCTATTTGGATTTTTTTTTTTAAGTACTTCTGATCTGTGTTCCTCTTATGTGCTGTTGTTTGATTCTGCATGCTTTTTGCTCCAGGATAATAACGGATCATGTATTATAGTTGTTTTTCTAACTCTAATGTGGCCTGCCTAGTTAAAATCTTTTACCTTCCTAATTAGAATTTTTTTAATCCTGTGCAGTCTAATTTTGGAATATCCAGATAGCAAGATAGAACGTAAGTCCTGCTCAGTTAATGTCTCTATCTAGGAGTGAAGGGAGAGTGTTGAGAAGAAATGTCAATCATAATGATTGATATTAGGGCATTTATATGTGTATTTCTTCATGGCATCTGTTTAAGTAGAACTCTGTTAATGTCGATAGGAGTTTTGCACTTGTAAATGAGCCATAGTGTGGGCCTTAGAAAGGTGAATTGTATGGAAGAGTTTATAATGTTTTTGAGGAAGTTGTGGCTATCAGTCAGTGATTAAAGCAGTGCCAATGAGCAGGAAAAAAATAGCTTAAGAAAATTGCCTGAGCAAGTAGGAGATTGCTGCTGATGGTGATTAGCAGCTTGTTAATGAGCTGCCTAAAGACGTGGGAAGAGCCTTAACAGGAGCCACCAGCATTGAGGAAACTTCTCATAAAGACAGATGAAAACTCCAGTGTTGGTGAGACCTGTAGTGTTTCTAGATCTTGTGCTATGAAAAGAAACAACAGAAAATGAATCCAACCTGCATTTCTAACTTTGGCACATAGCCTTTAGGGGAGAGGGAGTGTTAGAGTATTACAAATTGGACATTTCTTTGAAACAACATAAGGGCAAGATGAGAGAAATCAAATGCTGCCTTATGGTGCTGTTTGACTTTCACTCAATTGGAGTTAACTTTAACCAGAAAAGGTCTGGATTTAACAGAAACAAATGCTTTAAATAAATCCTTCTGGTATGAAGCAGAAAAAGCCAGCGATGCAGCACAGCTAATTCGTAGTTAGTTAAATTGAATATAAACACTCGATCACTCAGTACTGCTCTTTAAAATGGAATCGGTCCTAAAATTATAAGTGAAAGGTTTTTATGATGTGTCTGGTTCAATGATTGCATCCAATTTGCTAATTACTATATACAAAAAACCCCAACTTTTGATTCAAACTTTGCATGACTTCCAGAGGTAATATTTCTTATAGTATATGTTGTGGGGGATGGGACTTGAGTAGACTCTGCTTCTCTCTGTCCCTCTCTTCCTTTTTTATTTTTATTCCTCGCCCCCCAATCGTCTGCTGCTCCGTACAATGACTGTGAGTGATGATGGTCATTGATGAAGCACCAGATAAATTCTAGAAGTGGAAGTCCTAGCCCAGCACGGTCAAACACCTTGTCAGCATGCCAGAACATACAGCAGGAAGAAACGCTGCATTTCCTGATTTCCTGAGCAAAATACATTGACAGCGTGCTGCGACGTTCTCCCAACTGTAAACGGGTCTGAGTAGAGCAGAAACAAATTCCAGTTTTCTGCAGTTCCTGGTGGTCAGCCGCTGAAATCTGGCTGTTGTAGTTCATGAGAAATTGTACACTGTGTGACTTGGAGACTCCTTTTGTTTTCCTTCCTCCCTGGACCCCAGTGAAATTTCAGACAACTCTTAACTTCAGCATTTGTCTGTATTGTATGAGATCTCGTAACAACTTAGAGTGCTTTGCCATTCAGTTCTGTTCTTCGTACTAAAAAAACAAATATGTAGCCTAATACAAGTCAAGTGACAGCTTGAAATATTTTGTGCTTTGAAATAAGATGAGTGGAGGATGGAAGGATGCTGGAGGACTCTGCCTTCCAAAAGTGGCAAGGCTATTAAAAACTACTGCTGTGCCACTTAAAGGGGAAGAGTGAAGAAGAAACAGTGCACTGGAGCAGATTTACATCTATTTGTAGGCAGTGTCCTGTTTTTCACCAGACGGTGGTACTGATTAACTGCAGGTTGAACTGACTGATGTTTATTTGTCAGAACTTCAAAAAAACAAACCCCTTGGTTATTCTGACTGTGTGACCGAGTGAGGGAGAATCAGGCAAGTGCTCAATTCAGGCAGCTTATTCAAAGCACACCTGAAAAAATACCTTAATTAACCCATGTTAAACACTTGCACGGTAAGCTTCTGTTCACCATGTTCTGCAGTTCTTTGTTTGTAAAACAAACTTTGGAGAACGTTGGTGGTGCACTTCAAAAAATGAAATGCTTCAAGGTGACGGATTTTGAAGAGCCAGTATTAGTAATGAGAAAATGTAATAAAAGGCCAAAATAAAATGAAACATGTTTCGAAATATTTTAGCTTGATCTGAGATCATGTGTTCCAAGTATTTCCTTACTTTTTCTGTACTATGTGAGAATTTTTTAATTGTCTGGTTTACTCTTCAGGATTCTTCTAGTGAATCATCTTGTATAAAGGCTGCAGGTAGGACTGGTATATGAGACATTTCAGCAGGTTCTAGATTTTGAAGGATTGCACTGATGTCAGAGTGCCGGGGTGGGTGATTCCAGTGACCTGCAGTAGCTGATCCGTGTGAGCTCTTACAGCCCAAACAGTAAGATATTTCTAATGAGCATTGCAGAAATTAAGACTTCTGTTTTCTGGTTAAATTAGAAACGCAAAAAGGAGTGGAAAGCTTTCAGAGGCCAAAGGCACTTTCGTATGGAACAGGGGGTGAACGATAGGGAGGTTCTTAAACATGTTTGGGGGAAACAGATCAGGATTTTGGTTTCTGTTCCCATTTTCACTGTTTCCAGTCTGTGTTTGGTTTCAGAGGTAGATTGAAGTTCTTGGCCTGTGAGCACCTTGTCCAGCTCAGCCTGCTATGTATTTTTTTGTTCTTATTTTAGCAGTGACACAACTTTGCTTCATTGACTATTTCTGGTATTGTCCTTCCTTTATTACAAGAGGAAGTGTGTTAATGTGTGCTTGAAGTTGTTTCTTTTTCAACTCTGTTTCTGGAAATTCTGGTCTAACCAGATCAGTAATGCTGTTTGGGTTTTGGCAGCTAGAGAATGGGAAGTAGCTTTGCTGGCAGGGCTGATGCTGAGCTTGCCAGGTGACACCGCCACCCTTTGACTTGCATGTGTGAAGGTTTCCCTTATTGTTCTGCCAAAGGAGAGATGATCTCACCCTTTCACAAACTATTCAGCTTGTCATTAGTTTATAAAAGTCATGGGCTGTGTCAGGTGAAGTGTAAAATGTTGTGAAAGTCTGCTATTTTTTGGTAAAAATTCAGTCCTTTATTTTCTTTTTTCACAGGTTCTTTAAAGAACTTGAAGCAAGACATCAAAACAACATCTTTATTGATGATATTAGTGATATAGTTGAAAAACATACTTCTTCAACGTTTGATCCGTATGTAAAATACTGCACCAATGAAGTCTATCAGCAGCGAACACTGCAGAAATTACTGTAAGAACTAATTTTAAAATATGATTGCAAAATCACCCCGTTCCTAGTAGGCGTGAGTAGTAGGCTGTGGTATTTGGTGCAAAGCCTGTGGCTTCCAGCTAAGCGAGTACTTGCATGCTTAGCTTTGCCCTAATGTAGAATTTCCTTTGAAGTAGCTGGGGGTGGAGAGGTGCCTGGCTGCGTGGGCTGGTCCTGTCTGTGGTGGGTACGTTCCCTGTGCAGCTGAATCCGTGTCACAGACACTTGTCACACGACCCCGTGCGCTGTTACACGAGTGAGTCCGCGCTCGTGGTCATCTACGGCAGAGCTTGAGGTTTCGCGATGTCGATACTGGTCTTGGGCATCTGAATAAATAAAGCCGAAGGCTTAGTTGAGCTGACTCCTTCAAATCACACTTTCCTATTAATAAAATCATTATTTATTTAACATCTAGAAAATTTCACAATTTTTTGGTAGAACGTACTCTTTAATTCTCTCCTCTGTTATCCCACCAGGGCCACAAATCCAGCATTTAAGGAGGTGTTGTCACGGATTGAGTCCCATCAAGATTGCCGGAATTTACCGATGATCTCCTTCCTCATTCTTCCCATGCAGAGAGTTACTCGTCTTCCTTTACTGATGGATGTGAGAACAGAGTTACTTTTCTGTCTTTCTTTGATGCATGTTCTTTTAATGTTAGCATTCCTTCATATTCAATTCCTAGTTCATTCCAGTCTTTTCATATCTCTTTACTTATACCAGGCCCAGGGCTGTAGATAGTGCTCTATTGATTATGAATTACTGTAGCACTTGCATGTTTATTCTGACTGTTACCTCCTGTTCCTGATCCTTCATTCAAAAGTCAAATATTTAGACAATCTAGTAGGAAAAATTGTACAGTAAAAGGTCAGAATGATTCTGAAACCAAGGAGGAACCCAGCACAGAAATTGTTTATAGCGTTAGGATTAAAGTGAAACCCTGCAGTGTAAAAAACCAAGAGGCCCTATGCTGTCCTGTAGGCGAGGTGAGGGCCCTTTGGCAGTAAACACGCCCAGGAGCCGGGCGGTAAGGGGGTCGCAGCCTGACCCCGAGGACTGACCTGTCCTGCGGGGCACGGGCGGGCTGTGCGGGTCTGCGGCGGTGTCGATACACTCGCTTTCCCGCCAGCACCTTGCCCTGACAGGTAGCTCTTCCCTTCCTGTGCAGGTTACTGGGGGACGTGGGAAGTGTGAGGGAGTGCACGTGAATGTGTGTGAAGCAAAGCTCACACCAAGGTCCACGGTATTTCAGTCAAGAGGCTGGAACTACATTTATCAGCTGGGCCACCAGCAGTCGTGCAGATGAAAGCCCAGGCTCAGATTCAAGCATTGGTGGGACTCAGAACCAGGACTCGTAATTTTGTTCTCCTGTATATTTGCAAATCGTGCACTGATGAATTTGATCATCTGGATAGGTACTTAGTTCACTCATGGACACTGAATACTCTCTTCTGTGCAGTACATTTCTAGGTAAATAATGGAATAATAATCCAGTATTACTTTGATTTGTTACAAAGTGTGTCTTCCCCTTGTTCTTTTCTTTACCTGCTTTCCCTTTTCAGCAAAAGGAATCTAAACAAACAAAACAAGCATTTTATTTTCCACTGTTTCAGTCTTGTTTGTTTTTTCTTGGAAATAGTTGTGTAAACTTTATATTGAGACTTCAAAGGGAATTTGATTTTTTTAAGGCTTCAGTACCAGAAATAGGGCTCCAACTACATTCAGAGGGGAGGGAACATAATTAAGCCAAAGACTAATTTAATGTAGAATATCTGACGGTGGTTTTGTTTCTCAGTCAAAAAAAGTGATTCAACTGGTCTGTCCTTGATTCAAAATGCCTGTTTGTGACAGGACGTCATCGTCCCCTCTAACTCATAAGAATAAACCCTGTCAATAGATATAACTTCCATGTGTAAATCACAGATCAGATTTACTTCTCATTACTTTCCAGTGCTTCCTCTCTTTGGGTGCTGCAGTTGTTTTCCCTTCCATGTGCTTTTTTGTTTAATAAAATAATATTGCTATTTATGTTTTTCCATGGCGCACAGAACAGCGTAGCCTTTGCTGTTAATCCTTTGGAAATACTTACCTTCCACAAAGAGGTCAGACAGAGTAATCTGGTGCAGTTTTCTTATTGCAAGTATGGTTGTACATAACGGGCATTTCCACTTCCAGGAAAAGCTTAACACTGGAACGGGAAGAACCTGGTTGTGTATGGCTGAAAGGGATCTAATTGTGGTTTGCAAAAAGTTAGAGACAGGATGGCAGAAACGTTCCCTTTCCTGGAAGGATGTGGCCTGCCTCCTCGGCCGTGCTGCCATGGCTGGAGGGTGGCCGGGAGGGGCAGAGCGTCCCCCTGCTCCAGAAAGCTTCCAAGGGCTGAGGAAGCGCTCCGGAGAAGTGATCTGCTGTTCCCTCGTTTGTCCTGGGCCACAACCGTGACCTCACCTCTTTCATTTCGATTAGCATGTATGTACAGTTCTGTGCTTGCTCCAGTCTGTGCTGCTTAGTCCTCTGAAGTAACTGACATTTTATTTCAGACTATTTGCCAGAAAACTCCTAAGGATTCGTCAAAATACGAGAACTGCAAGCAAGCTCTGAAAGAAGTGAGCAAGGTGAGTTCTCCAAAGTTTAATCTGGATGCAGTATTTTTTCTGCTTTTGACTGTTTTCCTTCCTAAATTTCACGGCATGCTTTTGTCGCTTCAAAAACCCACTGTGAGAAGTGGCTGCTTTTGGGTTTTGTTAGTCATTTGAGAATTAATTTCCATGTTTATTACTCATTTTGTTCACCTGTTTCATTGTGTAGTTGGACAAATTTATTCTGTTTGTTGCCAGTCATTCCAACAGAAAGCCATATGGTGAACCACACGTATGGAAAAGCCAAAACACCGTCCTGACAGTAGAGAAAAGAAAGTTTGAATCTTCTAAGCAAACTTCAGCATTCTTTCTGCTTTTACTGCAAGTTAACCAGATTACCTTCTGTCAGTTGTTCTTTTCCTGTAGTCATGTTGTTTTGCCAAGAACCAATGGTGGCAGAAGGGCACGAGTCTATTTTCCATGCAGAAATTGCCAATTTCAGCACTTGCATAAGAAATTCCAGTTCCTTCCATTCGAGCCTGAACAATCACATTACTTTTTCTTTTTTTTTTTTTTTTTTAAAAAAAAGGTGGGATATATATTTATTTATATAGATTTATATTTAACATATATTTTTATATTCTGGAAATGGACAGTTCTTTAAAACAGAACATTGTGGTATGAAAAGAAAACTTAAGGACCCAAGAACTGGCTGTTGTTTGCCTCCAGGATCTCAGAATTTCAGGAGCTATAGTGCATCATAGACTGTTGTGAAATGTGAAGTACTGGGCATTCTTTATTAAAACAAAAAATATTTCTCTGCAAACTGGGGCTAGAGATTACCTTGGGCCTTGAACATTGTCTACTTTAAGAGAAAAATGGATGTTTTCCATGCATAAGTAATGCAAATGGGAAGAGCACTGAAGCGTAAAAATTCTAAATGGTTTTATTTAAGAAAGGCCACCAGGGATCATTTTTGTGCCTAAATTACCGCCTTGTTTATTACTTAGGAAAATATCCTAAGCTCGGCAGCACTGTACTGCTGCCGACAGAATTGAGTTTTTCTGTAGGACCAGTGTGTGGTGTGTAAAGTGCTCAGCTGTAAGAGGAGGAAAGGCCCGCGGGTGGTTGGGAAACCCGTGCGTCACGCTGGGGGGCGTGCACTGCCATGCCTTTCTGTCTTTGCCCCCCTGTTTTTATGTGCTCCCCACCCCCCTGTGCAGGCTTCAGTAAAGCTGTAGCATGCTTTGTAATTGCACTCTGAAGGTCAGCTGCAAGGCAGCTTTTCCTGGGATACTGTTTGCCTTTGGTTAACGTGACGGCCCCATAGGGTTTGCGTGGGGACTTAGTGGGGGGGCCGTGGTCGACCTGGCAGCCTCGGGTCACTCTGGAAGGTTGTTTATTTTGGAGCTGGTTATTATCTTGGATCAGAGAGCTGTAACCCTTCTCAGTCAGAACTCTGGGCTGAACCTCTGTGCTACCCGCACTCCCCTGAAGAATAAGCAATTATCGCCGTACGGTAGCACGGTCCAGGCTGAGGGGGATCTCGGGTCGTCGCCCGGTCCGGCCTCAGCGGAACCAGCTGCCCGCTCGGACCTGGTCACTCAGGGCCACGTCCAGTCTGGTCTTGGAAACACCATGTCTGTGCCCCAGCGTGAAACTGTCAGTTCCACTGTAAATTTTATGCTTCCCCAGAAGCGCGTTTGAGAACAGAAGTTTGTGTTACAAGTCTTGAGTACAATAAACCCGTTAAATGAATGTCTTGTTTCTAGCTGGTGCGGTTATGCAACGAAGGCGCTCGGAAAATGGAAAGGACGGAAATGATGTACACAATTAACTCCCAGCTGGAGTTTAAAATCAAGGTATGATGATGATATTTCTGACCATACATCATGTAGTGTATGAATGGCTTTGGCTACATGTTGAGTTTTGGTGGGTTCGTTGCCAGCATAACCGCAGTGAGGTAGTGCAGGCTGCAGTACTGGTGGGACTGTTTGGTCGGGGAAGACAAGTTCATATTCTGGGGTAGCTGAAGCCCCCGAAGCTCAGAGTAGTTAAGAACTGTTGCATCTCACCAAGCAGATTGAGCTTCAGGTTGAGGCTTTTCAGGGAATAGATGAATGTGAGCTGTAGATAATTTTGATTGCTTAGGTCTTGAACTGCAGCTGAGGAGCAAATTGTGTGTTTCTTTAAAGCATAAATTAGTATTTGGAATTGATACGGGAAACAGTGGAACTTCAGTAGTGTCTTCATAGCACACAGTAATTCTTGCAAAGAAATGATCTGTTACAGCAGGATAAAAATGGAAACTCTTGATAAGAATTTAGTAGAAGGGTTATGTTATAGCAAAATGTGTGGGGTTTTTTTGTTTTTTTTTGGTTTTTTTTTTTGTTTTTTTATATATATTGAATTAAATACTCATTGCTGTAAAGACTGAGTTTCGGTGAGGGGTTTGCCATTAGGAGGGAGGGCGGCTGCTGGCGCTCAGCGACGAGATGTTCTCCCGCACGTGGTGGGAAGACGGTGAGTAAGTAAATACTGTTAGGCCAGGAAAGGATCCGAATAGTATTGGACTAGCTGGAATTCCAGCAGCATGAAATAAAAGACGCGGCCCGTTTCCGCTCACTTTCGGGTTGTGTGTCTCGCAGTTACGCTCTGTTCCTACAAGACTCTGATAGTCGTCTGTAGGGAGGGTCAGCCTGGGGGGCCGTGCCTGCGCCAGCCGGGCGCTGCGGGGGTGCTGCCCGGCGCTGCGGGGGTGCTGCCCGGCGCTGCGGGGGTGCTGCCCGGCGCTGCGGGGGTGCTGCCCGGCGCTGCGGGGGTGCTGCCCGGCGCTGCGGGGGGTGCTGCCCGGCGCTGCGGGGGTGCTGCCCGGCGCTGTGGGGGTGCTGCCCGGCGCTGCGGGGGTGCTGCCCGGCGCTGCGGGGGTGCTGCCCGGCACTGCGGGGGTGCTGCCCGGCGCTGCGGGGGTGCTGCCTGGCACAGGGGGTGCTGCCCGGCGCTGCGGGGGGTGCTGCCCGGCGCAGGGGGTGCCCGAGGCGCCAGCTCTTCGCCCCGACCCGCCGCCGAGGGCCTGGCTCCCGAGTTGTGGCCTTGCTAGTGGAGGTGCTGCTAACTCTCAAGTAATTGTAAGGAGTCTTAGGATACTGAGATATTCCTGATTTTTTTTTTTTTTTCTATTTCTAGTACTGAAAATACAATGTAGTCTTTTATTTAAAAAAAAAAAAAATCCTCTAAAATCAGTTTTTTCAGTAGGAAAAAATAGCAGACGTAGTCATCGTTAGTAGGGGGTTTATTGTACTTTCAAGGTATTTCTTCAAGTACATTTACATTTTTCTATCGGATGTTTGTTAAAATACCATTTCTATAAATAACATCTCATACCATTACATAATGAGCAGTCTTTTGTGAGAAGACTTTTTGATTGCCATACATGTAGTAAGTAGAGGTTTGTGTTTTTAAAAATGCAGTTCCTGGGAGGCTCTTGCTCACTCTTTGAGGAAATGCTGTCTCCAAAGAGAAGTTTTTCAGCTGGTCTGTAGTATTTTTATTTACAGACTTTGACAAAAAACTGAAAACAATGATACTTACTTCCAATAAAAAATAAGACCCTTCTTAAAAAGTGACATCCGATTTGCTAACTACCGCTGGAGATAACAGCCGCGAGTCTCTGGACGGTCTAAAATAGAGTTTTGGATGGGCTGGGGCCCTTGGGCGATCCGCTTGGCGGTTTTGTTCGTGGTTCCCCAATCTGGAGAAGTCCCGAACGGTGGTTCAGCGCTGCAGTGGCTCACAGTCTGGTACCTCCCCCGTCCGTGGGAAGGGGATGCACGCTGTTGAGCCCGGCTTTGCAGCGGCGAGAGGCCCTGTGGAATTCTCCACGCTTGCTGCAGCTAGCAGCCTTCACGAGTTTCCTGGGAGTAATAACAACTTTATAATATTTGTTTCTCTGTATTTTTTTTATGCAAGTTTTCTTCCTTTGTGCATCTTAAATATAACCACTTAGTGGTTTAGACCTTATCTGTGGTTTGAGGGCTTGCCAGCTGGCGTCTAAAAAACTGCTTTGGCCACGTTTCAATACATTTTTAGGTTCTGACAGCTTGTTTTATATAAAGAGTAGATGGTATACATGATGTACTCTTTTGGCAATTAAGGAAAAATTAATATTAAAGTTAAAAGCTGCCTCTGGAATATGGTCAATTAGGAAAACGTGATGAGCTTGCTACAGATTAGAGGAATTTTAGTTCACCCTCAAATAGAAATTTTTAAAGTACTTTTTGTCTGTAAAACAGTCATCATGGTGCTATAATTCTGGTTTATAACCAGTATAAATTAGGTAAACTGTTTCTGTTCTTGCTCAACCTCATAGAGTGTTTTGGGATTTTTGTTAGTATTGTGTTAGATGTAACTGTATTTTGTGGGAGCACAAGAGAAGCTACTCGAATATTATGTCACTTTTGTACATGGCTAATCTGTAGAATTTAATTTTTAATTAAGATTCAGAAGTTTTTGTTCTTAAATTTTTCACCTTTAGCACCAGAAAAATAGAGGGCTTGTTTTCCTACAAACATGCATCTTTGGCAAAACTGTTTTGTCATGTGCCATTTCAGAGTCACTGTAAAATCATACCTCAAAATTCAAAACCAAGGGGGTGGCTGCACATAACATCAGGGAGTTAATATTTTATTCCTCCAAGGGCAAGATCGCAGTCAAAGCACTGCGTTTTGCTTTTGGCCTAGTACCGTGGGGCAAGTATTGACAAGCTGCAGTTAGCTCAGTAAAGGGCAGCTAAAGTGATTAAAAGATACAAAAAGACAGCCCAGGCAGAGTGAAGAAGACGGCTGACAAACTGAGTGAGGAAATACTTTTTTTACAGGCATGTGAAAGGTGCTTTAAATGAGGGGGGGATAGAAGCAGTTGTCTTCATTGCCCTAATCATGCAAGAGTGATATTGCATTTGAACGGCAGCAAAGAAAGTAGAGCAGCTCAATAAGCAGAAGGCAGTTACACTGGAAGTAGAAGCAAAAATTTGATTATTTCGCTGGGGAGGAAGGAAAATACAGAAGCTCCGTGGAATCCAGCTGTAAGGGCCCGTTTGCCGTGACCGGCCCGAGGCGTGGACGTCCGCACCCGTGGGGGAGGTGGCTCGTCCTCTTTCCCAGCGGCTGGGGAGCGCGCGGGGAGCGGGCTGCGCGGCGGGGGCTGCCCGGCCCCCCGGGGGTGCCCCGGCCGGCGCGGGGCGACACCCGGAGCTGCGCCGGGACAGAGCCGGCGGCACCTTCCGTGTCCCGGTGGGGCCCAGCCGCTCGTTGGGCGCCGGGACAGCACAGTCCGGCCGAAGGAGCCCGCGCGCCGCCGGCTCTGCTCGGGGCGATCCTCGGCTCAGGAACTTTGTCCTGCTGGCAGCCCGTGTCACGGCCCGGCCTCAGAGAGGATCGGTTCTCTGCCGGACCAGGACACGGGGCCTCACATCTCCCTTCGTGTCCCTGGCCCAGAGAAACAAAAGCTCCTTCTGTGGGGTCTCTTTCTCCCGCAGTTGGGAATAATTTGGATTAATAAAGCCAGGTCTTCACACGAGGCAGCTGTGATCCTCTTCTTGCTTCAGTGGTTGCAGGTGCTGGTTCTCACCCTAGAGAGAAATGGAGATCCTGTTCCACAGAACATGTAGAGTTCAACTACATCAACGAGATAAAGAGGAGCTATAGTATCCTTAATTACCCATCTTAAATACAGTGGACAGATAACTGTGATATTCCAGGAGCTCCTAATGAGAACAGCAAGTAGGTGGAAAACTTCCCTTCCTACTATCAAGGGAAAAAACGTAACTGGTTTGGTATGGTAATTACCTTGGAGGAATGATTCTACCTACACCTCATAAATGGAGGGATGAAGGTTTGCACAAACGGGTCTGGCTTTCCTGGAACCAGTGCCGCACGCACGGCGAGTTGTCGGGTCGGGTCTGACAGGGTGCTCCAAGGAGCTCGAGCGCACGGCTCGTTACGGCAGCGTGCCCCGAGCAAATTACAAAGAAATTGTGGTCAAACGTAACAGCCACCATTCCATTTTCTGATGAAATGGAACACGGGGGAAAAAAAAAAGCTGGAGTTCATCCTGAGGAAGGACAGCGGTTTGTTACTGTGGCCTCTCGTACGTGGATACCTAAAGAGACGTCCTCTAAAAACCTTCAGACATGTCTTTCAAACCACTGCTGAATTCACAAGATCATGAGCAAACTAGTATTGTTTTGGCATTAAAATGGACAGCTAACACAAAAGCTACGTACCACGTACTGCTTTACATATTCTTTCCCAGAGCTGTGTTGAAACTTCATCGTACTTAGAGTAGAAAATAGATGTTACCACATTTGATTGCTAAGCCTTCTGGCATTCCTCACCTTACTTTTTAATGAAAAAAAAAAAAGTCTGAATACTCTGAACATCTCAACAATACTGCTCAGTACTGTACTGGGACCAATCTGACCTTGTGTACTGTCTCCATAATCTGCTTATGTCTGTTTTAACATACTCGCAGAACACTTCAAAGAGGCTTGTGCAGTGCATTTCTGTGAAAGGATTTCACAGCTCTTTATTCTGCGTGTGGTACAGAACACACCCTCAGAAAGAAGGCACAGCATCACTTTAACTGGCCTTGGGGCTGTGATGAGACGCAGCGTGCAGCAGCCCTCGTGTCTGAAATGAGAAGCTGAAGCTCTTTCCAGCTGTTTAGGTAGAGAAGCCGTGAGGTATCTAGAGGAAAATCTGGTGTTCATACATGCTTAAAGAATGAGTGCTGACTCTACAAAAACTTACATGCTCCTGGGAGACAGTCTTTTTGTTTCTAATCTCCTTAGGAGATCTCACAGAGTCTGTTCCATCCCAAATATGACTGATCAAGTCTGTTCGCTTTTATCTTAGATGAGCAATTCTGTCATGTGCATGAGTGAACGTCAGGTATTTGCAGGCTATTACTTGTGTATTATATGAATGGTGAAGGTACCTTAAACCTTGATAACCTCTGTTTTGAGCTTGTACTCGTGATCTGAGCTTTGAGTTCATTCAAGCATTTTAACCCCAAATGTATAGTTGTTGTTTGATTTTTAAAAATCTCTGCTTCTGAAGGATTAAAATGTTATTTTCTTGCTTTGTAGCCGTTTCCATTGGTTTCCTCTTCACGATGGTTAGTGAAAAGGGGCGAATTAACAGCGTATGTGGAAGACACTGGACTTTTTTCTAAAAGAACTTCTAAACAGCAGGTGTACTTCTTCCTCTTCAATGACGTCCTGATTATCACCAAGAAGAAGAGGTAAGAGGAGTAAAATTGCCTTTGTGTTCAACTCCTTGAATCACAGAGAGAACAGCTGAGTTATTGTTGTCGTCCGAAATTACTGTGACTGTTGTGTGTGCCTCAGCCTAGGGGAAATAAAAAGCGAAGCTTTGGGCTTTGAAACAGCAAACTTGATTGAACCCGCAGCATTTTTACATATTTTCTAGTTTGAAAGAATGAAGGAGATTCAAAGAGTAGTGGAGCTGGTACACCTGCAGCATAGAACAGGAGGAAATCTGGTCTAAACATGTTTTAAGTCCAGTAGACATTTGTAAAGCCACTTATATTAATATGCTGTGTCAGAGAGAGTAAATGAATTAAGAAGTTACCTGAGTTTCTAATATTTTTCTGTCAGATTGTATGGCAAGTAACTACTTGTTAAACAGGATTTATTTTTGACAAACACAATTGAAATTCCAAATTGTCAAACAAATTAAAAAATTCATCCTTGATGGCTTAGCAAAGGGAGAAGTTTTGGAAGGATTTTTCACACCCACACCCTAACACCCCCCCCCCCCCCCCCCGCTTTCCACAGTTGGGCTGTTTTTGAGAATGATGTATGGGATACAACCTCTAGCAGTCTCCATTTAAATTTTTATCACTAGATTTTGAGGGACATTTAGCATAATTGAATTGGATGGAATTTACATCCTCAGCTGTTGTTATTAGGTAATGCTTGCTCGGTAAACCTTACTCCCAAGGCTGAAAACTGTTTTGAAGAACAATTATTTTGGATCTGGGTTGGCCAGTTAAGCCAAATGCCGGCCATTTTTAGAAGACACCCTTTTGTGAAATTCCAAATCCATAATTTAAATAAATTTTGAGGAATGAGGTATGCTATAAAATCTGGGAAGAAAACACTAATATTTAAGCAAAGAGAAAGCTAAATGAAGATGGGGGGGTGGGAAATACTTAAGTGAAAGGGGGATTTTTTATAAAGATGGGAAGGAAAGTGAATAGGTTTCTCCCCAGCTGTCTTACCGATGTGACCTTGTTTCTGAGATTCAGTGTTTATCAAAGCTGATGCTGAAATGGCTCTGTGAAAGTCCCTTGTTAAATCACTGGCAGCACATCAGAGTTGTATTGCACTTTTTTTAAACAGTGCATTTCTTTTCTCATGGGCCTAATGTTAACATATTGCTGTGGTGGTAGCTAAGTAAATGTTTGAGTTGGGAAAACAGTGAAAAATCTATTATCTGTGTTGTTACATTGTTTATCGGTTTCCTATGTGATGGCTTGTTGTCCAGATTATACACCAGATTTTTATAACGACACATCTTATCCAAACTTTGGGGCTTTTGATTTATAACAGCTTCCAGCTGTTGGAATTGAAATGCCCTAGATGGGCCCAGAAGCCAAAATCACAGAACACTTCATGTTAATGATCAGATTCACAGTCTCCCAAGACCCCTTAAACAAATGGATGTAATTGAAGGGGACAGATTTCTGCGAGCCTCCCGGATCCTCTGAGCACGAAGCATGTGAATAAGCTTAGTAATAATATTTGCGCTTGTGGTGCTCGGTTCTCCCACCCACAGTGTTACCATGGATGCCACAGCAGTGGACAGAAACACTTGCTGCTGGTCGGTTTGAAATGTTTGTATGCTTACCTGGGCCGGTTGCGTTGCAGAAGATTCTTACCATTGCACAGAAAACCCACTGCTCGCTGCTGTGCTAAAAGTACTAATGACTCGGTGCCCCAGTCACGCGGCCTCAGCTGTACCCGGAGGTTCATCTCCCGCCGTCCCGCCGCAGCAGCTGCCCGCACGCGTAGAGCCCGGCCTGCGGGGACGCCCTCCCGTGCCAGTCACTGCTGGAACTGCTGCACTTTGAATGCTGAGGGAGCAAGCGCTCCGGAAACCTTTCTGTAATGAGAACTGTTGGGTTTATCTGTCAGAAAGATAAAGGGAGGTCTTGTGTTGGTGTGTGCTCAGACGTGCTCCCCAGTTCTTACGTTTCAGTGTTAATGACACTTTATTCATCATAATCTTCCTTGGCTACAATCTCACCTCCTGATACGAAACTGCAGGGTTTAACTCTCTTCTCTCAGCCATTAAATGGGTTAATCAGAACTCAACTACCAAAATCCCTTCCTTTTTCCTGGGCGCTGTGTGGCCGTATCCCCCGCACTGTCAGCTGTTTCAGAGGTTTATGCTTCCCGTGGCAGCTACTGGATGGTCCCTTTTGGTGTGTGTTGGAGACCTTGGTTATCCCGCAGGCTCTGCTTTGTGTGCTGTAAAGCTGCAGGGTGCTCAGCTGCTTCCTCACACTTGCCCTTTGAAGAAGTAAGGCAAATGGCTACTGAATAGTGCTCCAGACTGGCCGCTGGAATTAAGCCAAAAAGGGACACAAGAACTTGTGATAGATGTTGTTCTACACAAGATTTTGGAGAAGAATAAAATCAGCGTTTCCCCAGTGCCCAGCTTTTAGTTTATTGGGAACTTTTTTCCTGTCCGAGTTCCTTTCTTGTAGCTCCTTCTTCTGTGTAGACAGAATCTGATTTTTTTTTTTTTTTAAATGTAATTTTAAAAAAAATAGACTCTTTTAAAGCTTGTAACGTTTTAATGCATTACCTTGAAAAAAATAGTGAGTGCTAGCCTGTGTCAGGATGTCCAAGTCTTGGTAGAAAGGCCGACTTTTATGTGGTTGCTGCCCAGGAAGCTGTCGGCTAATTCTCGTTCAGGCGAAGCGGCTGTCGGCTGGACTGGGGCGTGAAGCGAAGGGCCGGGTGCCGCCCGGGCGCTCGGCGGTGCTCCTCCCGGGGGAGAGCCGCTCGCAGAGCCGCTCGCAGAGCCGCCTCAGTCAGCTTGTCTCAGCCGCCCTCCGGCAGAGCAGCTTGCTTCGACTCTTTCGGTAGCTCTGGGAAGTCAGCTTGGAAATCTGTAAAGTTAAACGTTGTGAATACTCTGCAAAGATCCAAGTGTAGACTGACTTTAACCTAAATATTTCACATATTGTTCATTCAGCTTTGTACTAGTGCTTCACCCTTCTGTTTCATTCTCTTCTTGCTCCTTTTCTGGCTTCTGTTCTTTTTTTGCTTTCCTCCTTGCTGTACTGTGAATCGCCACCGTTTGGGCCATGACATCCCCAGCAGGAACCGCTAAACCGACAGCGTCCGCCGACACTGGGTTTTGAAGGTGGTGCTCTGATATAAGGGGTGACATGCAACGGAATTCATCTCTTAGAGTGGTTCTTTCAAGCTGCCACATGATTCCCTGCACTACGGTGCAACTGCTGGTACTTGTGCCGTGCTTGGGAGATTTGCTTTCTCTTGGGCTAGTGAAGAAGCTTCCAGGTTCCACAAAGTACGGCGAAATTAGTGCTTTATTAAAGTATGGAATACTTAGTTTACATACATACAAATGTAAAAGTAGGATTTGTATTTCCTTCATAATGAGCTTTCAGTTTTATCAGGTTTATTTCAGGAATTTTTCAGTTTTTCTAAGCCACAGGTGTGGGTACAAGCACGGTCCGTGCCTCTCCTGCACCGCGGATGAGCACAGCTGCTGGGTTGAGGCTCTTGGCTGTTGCCAGGGGTGGTAGAGATTCTATAGGGGACAGTTCAGAGCTGCCCCGGGACGCGACTGGGCTACAGAGGAGGTGATTTCTCCCACACCTTTTGCAGGCTTGGAAGGGTACACTGTAACAACATTCTGTTAAAAATAGGGTACAGCCAGCTTTGAACTCCACCCAAAGTCAAACGCCTCCTTTTATCCCACATGTCCTGGGACCAGGCAGACAGACCTGGTTACCTATTTTCGTTACTAATGCTCACAGCTGCCTGTGAGCCAGCTCTGTGTTCTGCAGAGTTGGGGAGAACTCCAGAACTAATACATTTTTTTATATACAACCAAGTAGCTGCCTCATCCAGCTGTTGAGAAAATCCACCAGTTAGAGCCTGAGTGCTTTCAGAAGGCTTCAGGTGAACTCCAGGGCGGCTTAGGGTTTTGAATGAGTGTACATTGAGTGAGTATTCTGCTTTCCATAATCCCCCAAGGATACCTCTAGCATCCAGTCTGTCTTAATGGCTCTACGGCTTGGCAGCTCCGAGATGCCCCGGCAGCTCCGTGCAGCTGGACTTTGTGCGCTGGAAATCGCCCGGAGGCTCGCTGCTGCTGGGGGCTGTTCCCTGCTCACAGCTCCCTGTGAAACCGCGGGCTGCCTCCAGGCGCCAGGGCTGGGTCTGTAACTGAAGGCAAGCACAAATGCAAAGAAACTTCTGTGGACGCCAGGGATTTGAGAGTAGTGCAGCTGCTTTAGCTGTGATGAAACAGAGCTGAAGAAGGTTCGTGAAGGATCCGTATCCCTTTCAATATATGGTGGAAAGAGTAAAGGAAACGGGGAGCCTGACCATGTGCTTGGCGTGGCCTCAAACAGATGACGTTACAGCGAGAGATGTTCGGGCTTCATAAGAACGCCCCTCAAATTTGCACATGTTCCCTTTGGAGGGGGATGAACCAGTCCTGTTGTTTCCTATTCTGAATCTAAATAGAAGTTTAGCAAAAAGGTTCTGAGCGGGTTAAGTTTCTGTTTCTGTACCTCCGGTCCCGCCAGCGCTGCCGGCTCCAGCGGCGGATCGGACGGTGCGCGGGGAAGGAGGAGAGCTCCTGGGCGAGGGAGGGAGGACTGCCTGGTAGTTCCAGATCAGACGATTCTGTTGAATGGAGATAAGAATTAGGAAGCATTTGTAGAGGTTTATCTCTGTTGATTAATTAGCAAGGAATGCATTTATTATTAGCTACACTAATGTAAGGCCTAGTTGATGAATTAGTAAGCAGTGCATTTATTACTCATTACGCAAACATATAGGCTATATTTCTTTTTCAGACCCAAGATTCCCAAATAACCGTAGCAGCACCCCTAGCTGGTTTTGCTAGTTCCACCCTTGGCTAAGCGGGGATTGCCCAGACTAAAATAGAGAACTGACTTCTTCAAAAAATAACCCCAAACAAACAAAACCCAACAACAAATAAAGCCACCAGCACCCCCCGCCTTCACCCCAAACCCCCACACTAAACAAACCAGCCAACCTTTCCCTGGGTCAGAGTATATAGTTTAAGAAAAAAGGAAGAGGGAGAGAGAGACTGATAAATGCTAGATACAAAGTGATTTGTTCTTCAGTAGGAACCCTCAGCTGGCACTTGCAACAATTGTCTTCAGGTGGCAAGTAGCATCTTTTTGTAGATAAATGAATGAATTTGAACCTGGAGCTGGGTTTCAGGGACTGCAAAACCTAAATCCCGAGTCTCCACTCCGTCCCCTCTCATAGCTTCTCTTGAAGCACTTACGCTTTTCTACAGCAGGACAGTCACAGTAAATTACAGTTCGTTCTGGTTCAGGGACGAGCTGTGTGCACACCCTTCCCAAAAGGTAAGGACATACAGAATACACTGGAATGAAGATTCCTTTTGGCATCCCTGGGTTATATGTGCAGAAATTAATGTTTAGCTTTCCACATGCTGCAAGATTGAAGGTTATCCCAGCTTCTTGGTGCGCTTATGTGTTAAATTCCTTTAATTAGACCCAAACCTATTTGGAATCTGGTTTCTTTCTACTTTGGGACCCCAGAAGTCATGTGTAGTAGCACAATTAACCCGGCTTCATTTTTACAGAGCTCTAGAAATTTTCTGCATCCGACTCATCTTAGGTGATTTATTTTCAGTTTTTTTACTCTCTGAAACAACAGTCTGATCAAAAGCTAGGTTAATCAAATCTGTATAGAGAGTTTTTAAAGCTATTTAAAGTTCTTGCGACAGTGCTCTTGGAAGTTTTGGTGTGTTTGTGCCTTTGTCAGTGGTACCTGAGTGGAGAAAACCAGTGGATTGTGGGGAATTGTTGGTACCATTTTGAGACCTGGAGAAAAAGAAACGGGGAAGAAAAATCATCTTACAAGCTACAGAGATTTCAGTCCTCCTGTAGGATAAATCTCACTAAGCTTGTCTGTCGTTGCTTCTGCTTCCCTTGCAAAGTCCCCAAGCTCCTCAAGAAAAGATAAGAAAAAAATACATGCTGGAAGGATTAGTTCCATTAGTATCATGTTCTGTGTCCATCACTTGAGAACGTACAAAGCTGTACTGCAAAAAACCTGTTTCCAGTATTTAATTCACAGAACAAAAGTAAAAACATACTGCACGTAGCTGAAATAACAAATCTGTTTTTACACCGGATGCACTGGCAGAAACTATTAATCCACAAATACAGTGTGATCTGTAAATCTGTCATAACTTGAAGAACAGAAATTCTAATGCTGTATGAGTCTCAGAAATCAACAATAACTTATATTTTGAGTCATAATGTTGCTCAGTTGTGTTTTATCAATTATTTTTCTGTAGGATTAAAAATAAGAATTATAAAGACCATTATAATAACTGGCAAGGTATTTGCAGGTATTTTTCTGACAGTTCATAAATGGGTAGAATATATCCTAACAGACATTAAGTCATCATCTCTCCATTTTAATATTTGAGCAACCATAAAGGAAGAAAATGCTTCATTTGCACCTGACAGAAAGGGGTACGTCACCATCAGCTTCAGTTCCAGGTGTTTGGGATTTATTTCTATCAGCTCAGTGCTTGGGTTTCTGGATATCTCTGGCAGCAAAATTAATCTTCTCAAGTATTTTTAAAATTTACATTATTTCAGTGAACCATAGTAATCTGAGACTAGCACAGCTTTTCATCGCTCAAGACTAAGAGCTAAATGGATTTTACTTTAAGGTGGAGTACGTGTAGCTGCACCTTAAAATTTGGTGTATTTGATTTACTGCAAATTTCGACAAACGCAGCAATGGAGGGGCCAGGAGGGACAATTGACTTTATGCCCATGTAAGCTGTTTCTTTGTATCTTTTATTGTTGTGCCAGTGTAGGACAAAAATCTGAAAAAGTTTACCTGAAACTGAGGTAATTTAGTTTATCAGTCTTCTAGGTTCGTGATATATCGTGGTAAACTTGCAAATTCATGTAAGACAATTCTGGGCAACGCGCTCGCAAGCTTCAGCGGAAACAAAAAGGCCTTTTCAGCTGGCTTCTCTTCTCTGGTGATCAGCTGCTATTTCTCGAGTAAGCGATGTAGATTCTTTTAACTCTTGTTTTAATTATGTTTCATGACTGTAAAAGTTTGGAAATGCACAGTTATTTTCCACTTGGGAAAAAACCCCACGTTTCTAGTATTACCAGATACGAGTAAGCAGCAAAACCAACAGCTACGGTAACTGGCTGAACTCGTGTGAGTGCTGAAGGACGCTGCTGAAGCTCTCTGGATATTCTGAAGTTGAAGCAGACGGTGTAAACGCATCGTGAGGGGTTGAGCAGGAGGGCTGAGGCGAGCGTTCCTGTCCGCTGCTGCCACAGGCGACAGCGTGCCTGGTCCAGCCACGCCGCTTCCCGCTCTGCCCTGTCCTCACCCTGGTCACCTGAAGCGACTCTCACATTTAGAAGGAAAAGGCTGCTGCTAGGGGAGAGCACGTGTTTTCATTTAAGTCCTTCGGGTGTTAAAATCAGTAACACTTCCATGCTCTGATTTGTGATGTCTAATGTTTTGGCCACCTCCCCACCTACATTCCAACCGTAAGGAAAGCAAAGCTGGGACTTGCATAATTGCCCAGAATTCTTTCTAGTCGCTTCCAGGAAGTTAAGCACATGTAGGAAATCTTTACTGGTGTCACTCAGAGTCGGTGTGTTTATTGACAAAGCAGGTTCCAGAAGGTGAACTGCGCAGTGCATTTTGCGAGACCAATAGTGTGTGACAAGCCTTTGCCCATTTTTAAAATTCACAATCGACTAAGCTTACATTTCAGAATATTATATCTTTGGACTAGACCTTCTACATGCAAATGGACAAGGAGTACAGAGTATTATGCTTTATTTAAAATGAAGATCAGCGTTGTTTATCGGGAAGCAGTACGCATATCCATAGTTCTACAGGCACAGGAAAAGGGAAATTGTACTTTTTGTCCTGTCACATTCTAAAATTAAGGTCTGTTGCTCACTTGAAGCTACAGAAGAAAAATTCTCTACAATTGCTGGGCCTGTTTTCAAATTTAGTGGAGTTGAGCGTACACCATCTCAGGAATGCCAAAGTCATTTAACTGTGCCACTAAATTAAATTCCATGGGGTTTAAAAACTGATCTACTCTGAATCTTGGAGAATTGGTAGTTTTGAAAGACAGAGAAACGGAAAAGATGAAAACCTGACGTTTCAGAAGAATTGGGCCATACTCTGTTGTTAAAAGTGGATTCTGTGACTGAGTTTGCTTCCAGACATACTCAACAGGAAATTAAACATTAAACTTGGGGGTTTTTTCTTCCCTTCTCTGTTCTGCAGTGAGGAGAGTTACAACGTCACAGATTATTCTTTAAGGGACCAGCTGGTGGTACAACAATGTGACAGTGAGGACCCGACTTCCTCTCCTGTAAAGAACACTTCAACCATGCTCTCCTCGCGGCAGAGCTCTGCAGCTCACCTCTTCAGACTGGCCGTCCTCAGTAACCACGCAGGAGAGAAGGTGGAGATGCTCCTGGGAACAGACACTCAGTAAGTAAACAGAATTTCTGTGATTTTTCACCTCATCATCTCACCAGGCTGCCTCCCCCTATGCAACCCGGTTAAGGTGATCTCAAACGCCCAGCTCCCGTCTGTGCTGCAAACGTAAACCGAAATGAGACCAGAAGTTCCAAGCCAGCAGTCCCTGTGAGGTCTGCCCACGGGCACGCCACCGCAGAAACGATCCCCGGGGGCACCCACGCACCCGCTGTGCCCCCCGTGAACGGCGCTGACTTGTGCAGGTCGTGTTGTGAGCGGCCGCCTGCAAAGCGCGGCAGGGTAACCTGGAGGGGCCCGTCTGATTTCTGAAGAGCAGCAGAGCAGGAGAACGTGCGGCTTATGTAATGTCCCCCTAGATACTGGAATAAATATTCCTGGAATAAAATAAAGCCGCTGCAAACCTAGTTCAGTTCCTCTAACGTGAACTCAGTGGTCGTAACTCAGAGTCACCTCTTTCCTTGAGGGCACGGTGTAGGAATAATGGAAAATTGCATATGCTGAAATTCTGTAAACTGAAGTAGCCGTTATTATGTGCTACTGATTTGGGTCTTCAGGCCAAGAGTTAACTATGCCTCTGCCGCAGAGGTGGCCAGCTCCCTAGCCAAGGATTGCTGAATCTCTTCTAGTTGTTACTGGTGATGCAAAGAAGCAAAGGCTGCAGGACAGAGATTTAAGCAGTTTGGATTTCTTGGGGCTTGAGGGGTTGTGGAATTAATTTCTGTTAAATTTACATTCTTTCCAACTTAAGTGATGCCACAGTAAAAAAAAAGGAAATCAAAGCTCTGCCACATTAAAGCAACTGTTAAGTAAACTGCACAATCTAATGATTACACATTGCAATATGGAAACTTCTTACCGTTTAATTTGAACTACAAATTAAATATCTGAGTCATCACTGGGCTTTGTTGTAGCATAAGCACGATGCATTTAAATGCTTCTCGAACAAACCTGAGAACTGGAAGGTAGACACAGGTTTTCTGCCTAGCATACCTGTTAACCTAGTGCTTTTATCTCATAATCATTATGTCCAGAGGGTGAGCGCCTAAAGTAAACCACAGCAAAGAGGATACTGTAGTTGAAAGCGCTGCGTAGGTGTGCAGTCTAATACCTAGCTGTCCTACAAACCGTTCAGACCATTACAGACCTCAAAGAACAGACGTCGGTGCTGAAGAGCTGCAGGTTCTTACATTGCTACCGAAAGGTCCCTGACGAGCAGTCAAGGCGGGGAGAGCCAGGAGGCCCCCGTCTTGCCCTGCGGCCCAGGGTGCTGCTGCGCACAAGGGGCAGCTGAGCGTGTGAACCCGAGCGGGACGCAGGTCACTGGAGGGAAGCGCTGCCTTCCCTGTCGTAGCTAAGGGCGGCTCTTTGAGCCTGGTCTTGAGAAGCCCACACGCAATCTGCCTGCGGAGACTCATTTAAGCTTGCTCCAACGCTCGTCTGCGCTGGTTTGTTGCTTATTGTTTTAAAGTATCTTATCCTGATTGTCAGTTCTTTGGGCAGCGGGACGTTTATACCGTGTTGGCAACGTGTAGAGCGCGGTGTTGCAGGAGGAAATAGGCACCGGCGTGTCCAAGGCAGGGTGGTGGCAGCAGCAAACGCCGTCAGGGTGTGAGTGCCGAACGCTCCTGTCCTGGAGCAGCGATTTGTGAATTATTGGTTGTAACGGCTGGGCGGTGCAGCAGGGGAAGGGTGCTGGATTAAATGGGAGGAGGAGTTTGGCGCGGCCCTGGGGAAGCCGTGGAGCTGCGCTGGGATAGAGGTGCTCCTTGTTCTCCCGACACAGTTTGAAGAGCGCTCCGCTTTAGAAACCCGCAACAAGAAGTGTCTTGTTCTTTCGGGTGCAAATATCCGCGAGGCCATCGTTTCGCTGTGGTGCCATTAAGTTCCACACAACACCCTCCACAAAAGTGAAAGATTTTATCTGTTTTAGTGGGAGCTGGAGGCGGGATAGAAGACATGAAACAGAGTGCTCCAGACGTATGCCAGCCTGGAAAAATTTACAGTTTTAGGTTTGCTTTCAAAGTTTAGAATAACCCTGAAAGAAACTATAGATCATTAATGACTTCTATTAAAGATCTCATTATAAAGTAAGCAGATGATTCAGACTTGTTTGGAAATGCGTTTTTATTGGGAAGAAAAAGCAGTACATTTTTAGTTGTCTGGGATTCTTACGAAAAGACACTTTGTTCTGCAGATTTATTACTGATTCGCTGTATACTGTTTGTAATATAAATAGCAGTCTAGCAGATTGTCATTCAGAGGAAAAGATTCTGAAAATAATTATTTGAAAATTACCTATTTTTATAGAGCATTATGTATACAAAAAGTACAGAAAAACTTTCTCAACTTTTGAGAAGGATGGGAAGGGAATCGACAATGGGAAGGCCAAGCTGGATGCTCTGGAGTGCTTACTGAGTAGAGATTTGCACGAGTAAATATTATGAGTGGTTACAGGGAAAGGAAAGTAGGAGTCTAAATAAAGCAAGCCACAAAGTTAATTAAGCTCACGCAAAACTGCATGCAGACTTTCTTTTGGTTGAAACACAGCAAGTTTAGTACCACCTACTTTAAAGACTAAAATGTCTAATAGCAAGTATTGTAGTTTTGGCCGTCTATATGAGATCAACAGGTATCAAATCTTAGATGCATGCTGAGGTTTAAAAAAATAATCAGTTTCTTACTAAATGCCAGGAAAAAAAAAAAAAAAACACCACCAAAATTTCTGTTCAAAATAATCAGTGGGATATTTTTTCATCCTGAAAGAAGCGCGGATCCCCTCACCCCCCAGAGTTTCGCTACTCCGTGGGCGGGCGAGTGCTCCGGCGTGGGCTGGGCGGACACGGGTGGGCGCTGGGGCCGGAACCCTCAGACGGGGCTTCCCAGACCAACTGCAACCCCGTGTGGGCTGTCGCCTCGCTCGCCCAGCGGTGGTGCGTCCGGGAAGACAGACTCTAGAGAAGGCTCATAATTTGTGTAAACGTCCCGTTTTCTGACACTCCTGAAGACACCATAGTGCTGTTTCCAAACAAAATTTTATTCTGGTTTCAGATTTTTGACAAAATCGGGTCTCAGCAGAAGGCAGATGTTTTCCATTATTTTGAGTTAAAAACTGAAGTTATCCAAAGATAGCAACAAAAATTTTTTTTAGGGGAGGGGAAAATAGGAAAATTCAACCCTGCCAATCCCTTGTGTTATTCTAATCTGTACTGACAGCAAAGCTCTTCAACAACATGAGAGAAAATCTAATTTCACTGAAACGTTTGTTTTGGGAATCAAGTTCAAATTCTGATTTGCCAGAATTCAAAGTGCCAGTGATTAAGTTGTTCTAGCTCAGCCATTGACAGGCCTGATTTAGGATTAGCTTTCCTTTTCTTTACTGTCTGAAGGCACTTTAGCTTGTTCCACTCCCTTCCAAAATTAGTTGTCAGTAATTTGCACTTCTGTGATTTATTGTAGAACAATTAGAAACTAGATAATTCTTTTTGCTCTCCTCAGAAATACTGACACACGTAATCTGAGGTCGGTTATGTTTTTCCTAGGTTATCCAAGGTGAGATTCCAGTAACTGATTTAGGCCTTTGTTGGATCCTTGCTTGTTTGTGCTGGCTCTCAGATTTCCCCAAACTGACACATATGGAAACGTAAATGTGACCTTCTGAGAGCACAGAGAAACTGTGGCTGGCTTTTTTTTGGTTTTTTTTTTTTTTCCTCCCCCTTTTCATTCTAAGTACATATTGCAGATACTTCTTGCACTAAACTGGTTGGTATTGTATATTAAAATTGCTGTATTGCATTTATCAGGTGCTTTGAACATCAGATGGATTTTTTTATATAAGATTACTAGTAAGTGAGTCACAGACACTAGCAGAGAAGTTTACCTGTATTACTTTACAATAATTAAAATAAAAGTATATAAGACATCATGCCAGTAGGTCCCATGTTTATAGGCTTTTTTTCCTAATCCAGCCTGCTTAAAATAGTTAAAATATGTTTGAGTAATAGATTAGGAGAAGCAGTATTACACCTTCCAGACGTATTCTGAGAGTAGGAGAAAGGAGGTTTTGTTTTCTCCACCCAACAAGAAAGAGGGAAAATCCAGAATGTTGAAAAGGGGGGTAGTCTTGGCCATTATCAAGAGCATGAGTTGGGAAACCGAGTTTTGTGTTTGCTGTTGGCAGGAGTGACAGAGCTCGCTGGATTACAGCGCTCGGACAGGACAGAGACGGGCAGAAAACGGACAGGACAAGTAAGTTACACCTGCCGAGATTTCTGAGAGCTCTGACAGGAGAGGGGAGAGGCGCTGTCTGGTGGTGGGGCTGCGAGCGAGCCGATGCTCTAAATACCCTTGGAAAGGTCCGTTTCTTCCCCTGGGCACTGTTGCTTTAGTACATGTGAAGTTGCCATCCCTTCCTGTGCCCAAGGGCTTCTCTGAGAAGTTCTGTTTCACACAGTAATTGCCATTGGTGCTCATTAACTCTGGTTTGGTCAGCTGTTTCAATCTGTTAGCAAAAGTGCAAAGCCTCTTCCCTTACATGTTTATCCCAAGCTCATGTGCAGTTGCTCAGGTAGGAAGCCCTTTGCAAAATTTGTTGCCTCTTTTGGACTTTGGGGGTGGGGTATACTCTAAATTGGAATTTTTTAAAACAAATTGTATATACATTTTAATAAAAGATACTCTTGATTCACCCTGGCTTATTTCTTCCACAGCGTTGACTCAGGTAGAGATCATCAGAACTTACACAGCAAAGCAGTCAGATGAACTGTCTCTTCAAGTTGCTGATGTTGTTTTGGTTTATCAAAAAGTAAATGATGGTGAGTGAGAATTCTGCTGTCAGTAGCCCTCTGTCACCACTGCAGCTGACTCCAGATATAAGCACTTGTTTCGTAATAGTGCTGGCTGTACAGTGAATAAAGGTTTCAGCTTCCAGGAGAAATGTGAGCATTTTGGTTCAGGTCTCTGAAGGACAGCCTCTGTTCGGGCAACAGATGTTCAAAGTAACTCATCGCCTGTCACACTTTCTGTAGCTATTTAGCTATATAAATTAAGTGCTGGCTGGTTTTGACATCTGAAATATTCACAAATAGGAAACCAAATTCTATCTAAAAACATGGAGCTCGGACATTTTAGTGAGTGAGCTCTAGGTTTGTCTGGGAGAAACATGCACAGCATTAGTTGTGTCATACCTGTGCTTCACTGCCTGGTAAGTACAGGGGTCTAGCGCAGTGGTTTTGCCTAAGTTTATCATAGCATCACGTACCCCAAGATCAAGACTGGTTCTTGCCTGGACATCCCAGTGCTTCTACTGATATCTCATGATGGGCTGGCTCAGTGATGCTTGAAGCTGTCAGCAGTTGAAGTACTAAACATGAACTTAATGATATTATTCAGTATTACATATGAAATTAAAGATCCTATCGACTGTATTGCATTGCTTTCTTTAGATTGTAATACTATATTCTTACATACTATTTCAAACTATATTTGCATTAAAATATAAGGAATTGATTTGCCAAACCTATCTTAATCTGATACTTTTACTCACTGCAAAGGTAGATGTATAATGCATGTGATGCCTGTGTCAGCTGTGTCTACTCAGTGCAACACACACAGTTCTGACCGAGGATCTTTAACGTTACTTGAAAAGGTTTGTAACTCCTTGTCCGTTCACCCTGGCAGGTTGGTACGAAGGGGAACGGTTGCGGGATGGTGAAAGAGGTTGGTTTCCCATGGAATGTGCTAAAGAAATCACATGTCGTGCCACGATTGACAAGAACATGGAACGGATGGGACGCTTACTTGGACTTGAAACCAATGTGTAGACTGTTTTTGCTGCTTCATACTGTACTGCAGGATTTGCACTAACGGCTCTCGGTGGGGGCACGGTTGCAGGCCCCGCAGCTCTCGCGTGGAAGATGAGTCACCAATGCAAAAAACCTAGCTAACAGAGCACTGATGTGTTGGACACGTCCTCCCTTTTTATTTTGTGTTTTGAGAGCTCTGAACTGAAACCTGGCGCAGCCAGTAGCAGATTTCAACTAGAAGTAGTTCCTTAGGCACTGGAGATCAGCCATGCAGCTTTTTGACTCAAATTTCAGTTTCAACTTTGGTTCCTCCATCCCTGCCTCTCGCTGTAGTCTTTTTCCATCTGTTTTGGAGCATTTTGACTTTTTTTTCAGAAGCAGAACTTGGTGTAGCAGTCTGTGTAGGAAACTGAACACCAGAATCTCACCCAAGCCATGCAGCTGGAGGTGAACAATAATACTGGGGGCTCCCTGCTCCGAGGGAACTGCAGCGTTGGATTCCCAGTACCAGGGTATGGTAATGGATACATCCCAGTTGCGGCAAAATCGGTGTTTAACCTGAACTAGAATAACCAACCCTGTAACTCATGAAGGACTACCTCTCCAGCACAAATCCAGGGATGTCCCAGGCTTTGTAAGAAGTAATTAGATCTCTGCCTGATGAGAAAGCATAAAAGCTGACGCAAGCTCCAGGGATGAAGCCAGAGAAGGGCCTGGGGCGGTGGTCCCTCAGGCAGCTCAGACTTTTTCTCCTTCTAGTGCTGCAGTGGTGAAAGGATTCCTGAAAGCAAGAAAGAGGTACCAAACTCTGCAAGATACAATGTTGATTATCTCATTCTCAGATCCATTTTAGCACAGGTATTTTAAAGGAGTTTAAGTGCTGGAAATGTGCCCATTTTCCTCATGGGTGTTTAACTAGGTCTTCCGATTAAGCTCATGCTTTAGAGCAGCAAGGGTTTTGATGCAAACTGCAGAAAACATGAAATATGTTGTTCTGGGCTTAGGGGGGTTGTTTTGGTGAGGGTTTTCTTGGTTTTTAGTCTTTCTGCTCTTCTCTACTAGAGAAGATTATTTCCTTCTGTGGAGGCAAAGAGTTCAACTGAACTTCAGTTTACTTGCATCTTTAACATTTGTTAGCATCATGTTGAAGCCACAGGCAAAAAAACAGAGGGACAAGTAAGATCTGTGGAATTTTGTTAAGGTGCCAGGCCTTCTCATCTCCATTGTACATATAAATGAAGGCGCACCACTGAGGAAAGCCCTGGAACCTGAACTTGGTATTTCGTTACCTTTGCCTTCCCCTCCTGCAGTGTGACTTGATGTCACTGGCTGCTTCAGGCAAGAGATGAGGGAGGGTGAGAGAGTGATGGATAAAATAGTGCTTGGACCTTGCTTTGAGAGGAGCTCACACTGGTGCTGCTTCACAAGTGCTCTTCTTGGCTGTAGAGAAGACTTCTCACAATTGCACTCTCCACCCAGCACCTGCTAAAGCTTTGCATCTGCAGTTTAGCTTGGAACATCAAAGAAAAAAACACCACTTTAGGTTGTGTGAATGAAATGCACTGAAAAATAAACTTAAATTTCAGTGCATCTTTTCTGTATATGTGTGACAGTTTGTATTATAAAAATCTTCACCTTTCTAAGGACCAGCTGATTACTCAGCAGGGTAGAAATACATGTTCAGTAAAAATGAGGGAAAAGCTTGAAGTACAAAGGTTTTCCTCTTGTTGCATTCCCCGTCTGTTTATAAAGGGGTTGTATGTTGTTTTGTATGCTATAATATGTTGATTCAATTTGTGAATTAATTGGATGTTGTAAAGATGTATCTCTCTAACAAAATATATCAAGGCAGCAGTAGTTTTGTACAAAAATACTTACCTGGACAGTCTGACAGTGGTTATACAGCCTTGTAAATTAATTTATAAGTAGACTCATAAAAAATAGTAATGAGAAACTGTAAATTGAACAAAGACTTATTTAACATAGTAAAAAACTTGCTAATATTTTAACAAAATTTATTGTACACAGGCAGATGTTTAACACATAACTGAATGTATAAATCCAGACATTAATTTTATTCAGATTTTTAAAATGCATTGTATATATTTTTCATACCTAGTTTTTTCAAAAAATGCTGTAATGTTTTTTAAATACATTTTTCAATTTTTCCTATTGTTGGACACAGTTCTTCAGGAATTAAAGACTTCTATGATTTTATAGGACAACAATCAATAAAATCCTTTTACATCTTTACTAAACAAAGTTTCCATTTTTCTTTAAGAAATACCCTTAAAATTAAAGTTGTTAATGTCATTCTTCTCAAAGAAATTAAATCTGTTCTGTGACCTGTGGCATTTGAAATTTTCTGTTCTGTAAAGGACAGAGCATGGTGCTATTCATCTGGCATAGCTACACTTCACTTGTATTGCCCATGACCTTGGAGCAGTGGTGTAAAATGCCGGCCTGGGAGAACACCTCATCTCTCAGGGACTGCAGTAGGAGCGGGAGGGAGGCAGGAAAAAAGCACAGAACATAAGGCTCCTCAGCCCCCTTGGCTCGAGTCGGACAGCTGCCCAGTCTGAACCAGTCCCTGGGCTCCTGTTGCGGGGAGCAGAGCTCAGCACCTCCCTCTCCATGTCCCCTCCTCAGGGAGCTGCAGACAGCGACAAGTCACTTCTTAGCCTCCTTTTCCTTAGCTGAGACAAACCCTGAGTGCTCAGCTGCTCCTAGGAGCTGCCTTCCTGCCCTGCACCAGCTGCTTTGCCCCGAGTCTCCAAGAAATTTGCACACCTGACTTCTGTAAGTGAATTTTGCATTATTTTCTGTATAGTAATAGAGAAGGAAGAAATAAAGCCCTACCCTAGAGCACTCAGGAACTAGAAATGCTGGATCCAGGTATCATGCTAAACATGACTGCATTAGTTATTAATAAATAGTTACAATAAATGCTGAAAGACTGTATTTGCAGTTTTTTATAATGCATAACTTACCTGGGGTTTAGCATACAAAGGAAGACGATTGCCTGTACTAGCGCCGACAGCTTGGGGCAGGGGGAGCCTCAGGACTCTCCTCTCCTGCCCGAGGCTGCTCCTTGCTGGCCCCAGCAGGTTGGTTTGCCCCCACCTGCAAGATGCCTAAACAAAGGAGCCAAATTTTTTAAAAAGTGGCCTTTTGGTGAGCTGCCAAAGCAGCACTTTCTGAAGAGCAGTGAGTTTTCTAGGGAAGCAGCCAATGCCATCAGTGTTTGTAAGCTACACAGCCCCAGCATGCATTATGTAGTTCCCCCCCCCCCCCCCCCCCCCCCCAGAAATAAGAGACTGCCCCAGGTTCTGTTCATGCAGCACAAGCAGGTGCCTGGAAGTGGCATCTAGCACCCATAGTGCTGATTGATATTAACCGGTCCGACCTTAAAATCTTTGACTTTCACTCTAAATTCGATCATAGCTCAAAGAAGTCTTAGAAACTTAAGACAGCATGACAAGCAATTCATCTAGAAGTTTGTAGAAATAAATTTTCAAAAGCTAAGGGTTTGTGTTGGTTTTTTCCCTTCTAACAACTCCACAATATTTTCATTAGCCAAAAAAAAAAAAAAAAAAAAGTCATCTTTTAACTCTGACCTGCTCTAGGATGAGCATTTTTGCAGAGGGAATGATCTAAAAAACTCACTCCTTACTTTCTAACCCCTGTGTGCACATGCATGAGCACACACCCATGCACAATCTCTTTCTCTCCTGCTCAATGAGGACAGGACACTAATATCTCCTTTTTAATTAAACAGCCCAGCAGTGACAGAATACAGCTGGGTCTTTGTTACTATAAAAATTAACTTTCATTGTTGCAGGGCCTGGAATTTGTACCGCTTCCCTACATGACTCCTCTAATCAGGTTTTAAGTAACTTGACCAAAAATGAAAGGCTCTCACTTCCCCAAGACAAAGTTTCATTTTACACAATGCAATTAAATACACATTATGTAAGGTGGGCAGGAGCCCCGCAAAGCCCAAGGCGTGGGGCTGGCCCAGCCCCGGGGTACCTGCCTGGATGAGGAGGACAGCACTGGAGGGCAGCCCTGCCAGGGGAAGGACCCTCAGCCCCTGCGCCGGGGCTGCGGGCTCCTGCAGCCCGTCCCGCCTGACATCGCCCTGTCACAACATTTCCAAACACTCATACGACACTACTGAACAGCAGTTATTAGTACTGTCTTTTCTGCTTCTTTATATCATCTCTGCAACATAATAAATAGAACATTTTTATCTGCTGAACTTTTTTAAAAAATGCTATAATGCAGTATTGTTCTTGACTTTCATGTCAGAAGCCACGTTTGTTCTCCATTATGCAAAGCTAATTTGCTGAAAATGAAGTAGTAAAAGTAGCACCGCTTAGTCAACCTACACAACCTCACAAAATGACGTCTTTGTGCAGCATCATATTTACACGCACATACCTTAAACTCTATACCTACAGAATACATTCACACAAACTTTTTCTTCCCCCTGTAGATCCTGTTTCTAAAGTAAGTCAAAAAAAGTGGACAGAACACAAGTGTTAGAAACAAACCTAGAGTAAATGCTGATGCCGAGATTGAGGAAATCTGGGAATTACCCAGAGATAGTGTTGCTCTTAGCTCTACTGTAGTCTGCAGCTGATTTTCAACAGCTGTATCATAACAAGCGCATCATTTAGGCAAACTGGAGATAACACAACAGTCAGGAAAAATTAATTATCATCGTTGAACTCTGTTTCATTCCATAACCTGGGGTTTCTAACACACAGACAGAAACAGCCTTCATTAAGTAAGAGCACTATGAACTAGGAAGAGAAACATCCATGGTCTCTAGCTAGCCATATGAAAAAGACAGTGCAAAACCTTACGTCAGCATTATCTCAGATTGCTCAATAACCCAATCCCATGGTTTAACCCCGGTGTGCAGCTATGCCCCACACAGCCACTTTCTCACTTCCTCACAGTGGGATGGGGGAGAGAATCAGAAGGGTAAAAGACAACTCATGGGTTGAGATAAAATTTAACTGATAAAGCAAAAGCCATGCACAAGCAAAGCAAAAGCAGCGACTCATCCCCCCTGGGCAGGCAGGCTGAGCCATCCCCAGGCCAGCCGGGCTCCGTCACACCTAATGGTGACTTGGGAAGATGAACCCTGCAACTTCAAATGTCAACCCCTCCTCCCTCCTCCCCCCACTTCTACTGCTGAGCAATACAGCCCAATGGTTGGTGTGGGATATCCCTGGGGTCAGGGGGGGGTCGGCTGTCCTGGCTGTGCCCCTTCCCAGCTCCTCATGCAGTCACTGCTCAGCAACACCTGAAAAAACCCCTGTGCCACCAACACTCACTCCATTACACATCCGAAACACAGTCCCATGCACACTACTATGAGGAAAATTAACTCTACCCCAGCCAAAACTAGTACACCTGACATTTGGAAAAGGCTAATTTTCAAATGCTAAAGAACACAGTGGTTTCCAATACATTTTTGATTAAAGAAAAAAGTAGGTTAAGTACACACTTTAAGCATAGTTGGGAAAGTACAGCCAATACCATTATTTACACACTAGTCATGTTACTTTACAAGTAAAGAACACACAATCCTAGAATGGTTTGGGTGGGGACCTCAAACCCCCCCCCCAGTGGCACCCCCTGCCCTGGGCAGGGCCCCCTTCCCCCAGCCCAGGGGGCTCCCAGCCCCGTCCAACCTGGCCTTGAACCCTTCCAGGGAGGGGGCAGCCACAGCTGCTCTGGGCACCCTGGGCCAGCGCCTCACCCCCCGCACAGGGAACAATTTCTGCCTTAGAGCTCACCTAAATCTCCCCTCTGTCAGCTTAAACCCGTCCCCTCTTGTCCCATCCCCACCCCCTGATCCAGAGTCCCACCCCCCCCCCCTTTTCCCGTCCCCCCTTTAAGCCCTGGGAGGCCGCTCGAAGGGCTCCCCGGAGCCTTCTCTTCTCCAGGCTGAACCCCCCCAACTCTCTCAGCCCGGCCTCCCAGGGGAGCTGCTCCAGCCCCCCCAGCATCTCCGTGGCCTCCTCTGGCCCCGCTCGAGCAGCTCCGTGTCCTTCTGCTGTTGGGGGCCCCCGAGCTGGCCCCAGCACTGCAGGGGGGTCTCCCCAGAGCGGAGCAGAGGGGGAGAATCCCCTCCCTGGCCCTGCTGCCCCCCCTGCTCTGGCTGCAGCCCAGGGCACGGGTGGGTTCTAGGCTGCGAGCGCATGGTGCTGGCTCACAGGTAGTTTTCCCCCCAGTCCCTCTCCTCGGGGCTGCTCTCCAGCCACTCCTCACCCAGCCTGGGTTTGTGCTTGGGATTGCCCAGACCCACAGGCAGGATCCTGCACTTGGCTTTACTGAGCTCCACGAGGTTTGCCCAGGCCCACCTCTCCAGCCTGTCCAGGTCCCTCTGGATGGCATCCCTGCCCTCCAGCATGTCACCACACCACACACCTTGGTGCTGTCGGTGAACTTTCTGAGGATCCAGCACAGCCCCTTTCCTCAGCAGCTCCTCTATCACTCGGAGAAGAAAGTTATCATCAATGCATTCCAAGAACCTCTTGGATTGCTTATACCCTGTTGCATTGTCTCTCCAGCAGATATTGGGGTGTTTGTAATCCCCCATGAGGACCAGGGTTTGTGAACATGAGGCTGTTCCTTGTCTGTCTATAAAGGGCCTCATCCCCTCCATCTTCCTGATGGGGTGGCTGTTAGCAGACCTCCACTACAACACCCCCTGCCCTCCCTTTAATCCTGGCCCCTAAGCTCTCAGTTCCTTACCCATCACGAGGCAGAGCTCCCTGCACTCCAGTGGGTCACTGACACAGTGAATGATACCCCCCCCCGCCTGTCCTTCCTAAAGGACCTGTACCCTTCCATTCCAACACTCCATCACAGGAGCCATCCCACCACATCTCCATGATACCAGTAAGATTGCATCCCTGCAGGTGTGCACACATTCTAGCTACTCTTCCTTATTCCCCAATAAAGAAGGTGCTATGCACATTTGTGTAGACATTTAAGTTGGGCCCCTACTGAAGCTGACTTACTGGAATCCTTTTGTGCTGCTCAGGTGTCTTCCTGCTGCTTTGTGACCCCTCTCCAGGCTCTGGGCATCTATTGCTGACACTGGTATCAAATTGGTAGTAGTGGGATGGATTGAGGTTCCCCTCAAGACCTGACCGTACCAACCCATGAACACCTAAGCATGCAGTTCTTCTGGTGGTGGCCCTAATA